CCCCAAAACCCCAAAACCCCATGCATTAAAATTTTAGATGAATTTTTGGCTTGATGAAATCTAAATAATTATAAAACTTCTGCTTAGAAAATTTCACTCAAATTTGTCCTATATTTCTTTATTATTAAGAATCAAACAATGTCAAATTTCCTTATAAATTCCTTCAACATTTGCTTAGAAATAGGTTTAACCACTATATAAGTTAAATAATTTTATAGAAACTTACTGAAATCTTTCATACCGTTGGCGATACAGTTTTCTCTTTCATCTAAGTAAGCAGTCACTGCAATAATAGGAATTTCAGGTAACTTTTTTTATCTCATCATTCTCCTCAGCTCTATTGTAGCATCTATCCCATTCATTACGGGCATCTCTAAGTCCATTAAGATTGCCTTAAGACCAATACAGTTACAAGTCTTTTGCCTATAGAACTCTTTGATCCTATTAATAGCTTCCTATCCATTTTAAGCTAGCAAACTCTTAATATCAAATATTAGCAAGAGCATTTGTTCAATAGCAAATCTATTAGTCTAAATATCATCAACAACCATAACTACAGGGCATTAATGAGGAGGCTGCTCTTAAATCTAAGAATTGATTGGAGTTCCTGGGTGACTATGAGTAAAAATGATGTTACTCTGATTATTCTAGTTACTGTTATTGTAATTTCTATATGATTAGTTAGAGTTGTCTCTTTATCTTGGAGGAGACGAGTAGAATTCATCTTGTTTATTATCTCTTATTTGAATGTCTGTTTAATCTCTAGCATTAAGTCCTGGAAGCATCAGGTCGACGTTTGAATTAGGCCAGAATGAGAATTTCTATGGACGTTTTTTGGAAGAGTTTTAAGAATTGATTTATGATTTATCAACTTTTATTGAGAAACTTTAAACGGAATCTTGGTTATTGTTATCTTTGAATAGTATTGAATCATCTATTTTTAGTTCTTCTTAATAATTTGACTCGTTATTAATCCAAGTAATTCTTCTGTTAAAATTTGAGTTGCTTCTTAAATTTTAGCTTGATAGAGTATTATTTTCCCCTTCTAATTTTTAATTTAAATGCTTTTATGGTAAAAACTAGTAGTTATCATCAGATTTCCCCCGAGGTTAGAGCATTAGATCTTTTTACTTTTTGGGGATTATCAAATTTTAAAATGCTTCCCGAGGACTTTTATCATTCTTATCTCGAACAGTCATCAATGACATATGAGGAGAACTATCATTATCTACTTGATTAGGTTTTACGGACTCTTCTAGCTTATTTAGCATTTAATCAGGTCCTATCTTGAATTCTTACTAATCTTTAAGCTAAGGGTCGAATAATACTTGCGCTGCCTTTTTTTATAACTATCTTGAAGGGTCATAGCGAGAATAGCCATACCTCTCAGAATCTACTTAGCAGTCATCTTAAAAATCAAGAAGTTCCCTATCTAGGTCTATTGGTGTCATATCTTAAGATTAAATCTTCAATTAAAACTCTTGATGGTTTAAGGTGCTTTCAAAATCCTTAATTTTTAAAAAATCCTTGTTGGAAAATGTCTGATCTCCTATCCTTAGCTGTTGGCTCATTTTTTATGTGACCCTTTTAGAAAGTCTTTTTCTCTTCGCATGAGCTAGAATAGAAGCATAGCTTTTTTAATTATCATTGTAATCGAATTCTACTAATTTGAAGTCTTTATTTTCCTCCTATTCTTCTTTTGAATCTTCAATGGTCTCAATTATTCTGAAATTCTAAAGTTCGTTTGTCAAAGGACTTTAAATTATTTAATTTGTAGCTACATCCGAGACAGAGCCAGTATCACTTTAATTATCTGCTCCAATAGAAAATTAACGATTAGGCTTAGATTATGTATTATTCCCATTATTTCCTTTAGTTGGTGTTATTTTCTTCTAATTCAGATAATTTTAGAAGCTGAAATTAGAATTCTATTGAATAAATTAAACTTCTTCTGGTGAAAGGTATTGATCTTTTTATTTTGAATCAGAATCTTTTTTCTGGTCTTAGTTTAGAGCTTCATCAATTTAAGGATTAATTATCTGATTTTTGCTTGTGCTGACTTACTCAACTGTGAAGAATTCCTTCCTTTAATTACTTGCATCTTAACTACTTGTCAAGTTTTGCCTAGTTGATATATCATTAATGACAGTAGTTGATTTAGTATTATTATTATTTGCTGTCCTCATTTTCCTTATTTTAGTTGGAGAAAACATATCTTTTTACAATTCTTAGTATTTCGCAGCTTACTCAATATTAGTATTCGAGTGCATTAATTTGGGTGTAGGTGTATCATCTTATTCATCATTGAGAGAATTATTCCATAGAAATTTAAAATTCTGGTCCTTAGAATTGGGTGATTTAAAGACCAAATCAAAAGCACCTAGCTTCTTTTTTGAGTCTATGAAAAATTCCTTAGAATTGCTTTTCTTAAACTCTTGCTTACTACTATAACTTTTTTGACCAAGTTTGAAGGCATTTTAAATATCATCTTAATCTTTAAATCTTTGTTGGTCAAGTGTATCCATTAAGCAGTTATTTTAATTTATATCAAGGTAGATTCTAGTTGGATTTTCTCCATTTTACTCTAAATTTAATTTATTCTCTTCAAAACTGCATCTCTTTCTAATGTCTAAAGGCGAAACTGGATAAATAGCACTGGAGCAATCTGATATTTCTTTGTTATTTTAATAGTCTGAAGTGCTTTTGTGCTAGAGCAGAAAAATTTCACGGTCTTAATTTTTTAATGGTAATGCAAAAGTGAAGATTGATCCATTTCCTAACTTTGATTTCACAATGATTTTTCCACCCATTTACTAGCATAAATTTTAACTGATAGGAAGTCCCATTCTAGCAGCTATAAATAATTAGAAATAAAATAGTTTAACATACATTTTCTCTTAGTAGAAAGATATTTCTAAATGTTTTGTTTCTCATTCTTTTCAAATAAATTGAATATATAAGGCAATCTCTCCTCTTCAATACCAACGCCAGTGTCCTTGACTCTAAACTTAACATATTGAGGATTTTACTTAACATAAACTTCCAGCTCAATTTTCCCCTGACTTGTAAATTTAATTGCATTCATCAATAGATTCAAAAGTATCTGCTGAAGTCTGTCTCGGTCAGCAACCATTGATACTCTAGTTTGATTTTAAGCCTGTACCAAACCACCTGTGTTTTAGAATTCTATCTTGCATGCAAATTATACTCTATCATCTTAGATTTGGTGTTTTACTATCTTTTCAATGTCATGAATACATTCTAAGAGATCAAATTCTTTAATGTTTAAAACTAATTCATTGTTCTATAATTAGTTGTAATCGAAGAAATCATGCATTATATTTTTCAAGACATAAGCACATGATTTCATGATTTTGAGAGATAACCTCAATTACTTTCCTTAATTTATAGATTCATCTTGCCATCCTTGGTAATTCCTTACAATAGACTGATTTATTCTCTTTGAAAGAATAATTGAAGTATCCAAACTCATAATTATACCATTCAAAGGAGTTTTTAGCTCGTGAGAAAAACTTTTAAATATCATATTCCTCAGTCTATCTACTATCTTTTTCTGATCAATAATCATCTCATGAGTAATGTCCTTAATAGTTAATAGTAAACATGGTTTATCATTCCAATCAATCGGAGATATAGATATGCTATAGTACTTTCTGGCCTATATCACTGTAGAATTGTGTGAATCATGGTAAGACTATGCTCTATTATTTATTGAAGAGGGTGTTTCTCTGATTGAGGAATTTCTTTTTATAAATGCTTCTTCTTTGTCTAAAAAGAATATATCGAAAATGTGATCTGTTTCCTTAAATGTGGCTTCTTTGTTATTGAGAATAAAGTTGAGATCCTCTTTAAGATTAGTGTATTTACTCTTTTTAGTTCCTCCTGAGGTTTAACTATTTTGGATATTATTAAGATTTTATTGCTAACTTGAGTTCTCATTTAAAGTTAGCTTCCTTTGGAATCTGGTGAGAGCACCTAATACTTCTTTTTGCTTTTTAATGCCAAGTACTTTTCCAAATGGGTTGTTATAATGTGATACATCTTCTAAATTGAGCACAGCAATTCCATAGGGAATAAGCTACACAAGATTTTTAAAATGATTGTCACTTTGAATGATCTAATTAATTTTTTATTTTGTTATTTGGTATTTCCTGCTATAACTATATTGGTAATTTATCATTAAGTACACAAACAAACCATTTACTACTACATGGAAAACTTTATCTTAAAAACTTATCTTCTCATCATTAACTTAATATTGCAAAGTACAGAAAAACATTACATAAGTTACGATTTTTAGTAGCTCTGAATGAAAAATGAAGTTATTTTTCAAATAAATCAAGTTATAAACACAGTATTAAAAAAAGAAATTCTGTTGCAAATAATATTCTCTTATCATTAAAATGTAGATCCAAAATCCAATCATATACATTGCACCTAACCAATTTAGTGACTTTCGAATTTCGAATTTCTAATAATCTGATATTATGAACTCTTAATTCATATTTCCAGGTTTTTTCTGGTTGAAATTAATTGGTGTAATTTTGTAGTTATTTTTCAAGAATCCAAAGTCAAAATTTTCATTCAAAAATGATGTTTAGGTGTAAGTTGGAGATGAAGTACTTACGAATGAGCTTCTTGCAGACTCTAAGGGGAAATCAACTAATTGTTAAGATATCTTTTTATTAAACCTAAGGTTTTTTCCTTGAAATTAGAGGTCAATTTTATTGCCAGCACCACTTTTCTAGCTTTTAAAACTACCTTGCGAATGGACTTGCATCATTTAAAATGTTTTTTGTTTTTCTTTGCTATTATTTGGATTTACTGGCCTTAAGTATTGATTATCCATTATTGACGGTGGGAATTATCCAATTGAATATTCTTGTGATTAAAGCTTGTGTAGATCTTTAAGCTAGCATTTTCTATTGCTTCTTTTGCGGACTGGATGAACAGTGATATCTCTAACTTCCTCTTGGCTGATAGAATCATTGATAACTTAAATGTTGTAAGATTTTAGTGTGCTTCTAAGATTTTAAGGTTGATCTTTGACATCCTAATTCGTGGGAGAGATTTACGATTGCTCATCTTCATTTTACTCTGATATTTTATCTCCAAGATATCTTTAACTTGGGCTTAAGCCTTAACCATGAGAGATAAGCTAGGATTAACTCTTTAGGTAAAGTTTCTAATTAGAACCATTCTAGTTAATAGCTTTGGAGCTATAAATCTCAAAATCGCCTTTTTATTCAGAATTTCTTTCTTTTCTAAGACTAAAATCATTAGATGACATGCTGAACTTAGCACTTTCCTGTTCCCTTACCAATTCATCTTCGTTTTACAAAAGCCTCTCTTTTTGGTTACTCAAGCTACTTATGTTAATTTCTGATGACTCATTTTTAAATGACTTATTTTCTTTAGACTCTATAGATTAGGCAAAGGTGAAATGTTTCATATTTATTTGATCTCTACCCTAGGTTTTGTCATAACTTAGCTTTCCAGTGCTATTTATGCATTGGCGATTAACTGTAGAAGCAAAGGTTATATTATTGAATCTATCTATATTTCTATCATCATTTACTTTATTTGAATTGGCCTCCAATGTTTGAAACTAGGAATCATTAGATTAGTTTGTGACGGGCGATATAAATAATTGAGGTCTCTTGAATTTCTGAGTATAATGCAAATTCTTATTATCCTCAACAAAAAGAGATTTCAAGTAAAAAAGATAGTTAATGAATTAGCAAATCAAATCTACCAGACTTTATAGGTATGCAAAAAGTCTATGCATTTGTTATTCAGAAATCTCCCCTTATGTAGTGTATGTCTTTCGGAGCCTTCTCAAGAGAATCATATTATTATTATTTAGGTGGTTATGGTTAAGAAGAGTAAAATAGACCGCAAAAAATATCATCATCAGAATCGAAAGTCTACAATGTATCGTAAAGAAAGAGGTATTTGCAATTTCAATTATTTTATCTTGACCAGAGACTGTGAGAGTGGCAAGAAATATGGGAAGTTAAATATAGATTTGCAATCCATGGTCAGTTAGATTATTCATTATTTTGATCATCCGCTTTAATTCAGTGTTAGAAGGATCCTAATTGCTTTTAACGGTTGTGTTTTTCACAATTGAGGAAGTTTCAGCAGAATATTGACCAAGGATGTTAGTTACCATTCTCTAGACAGGTCTGTTGCGAGATGGATTGCTGTTTGAAGCGGTGTTTTCACTTTAAATATTATTATAGTTACTTTTTCTCGTTTCATCTCTACTTGATGGAAGTGCTTCAGAAATATTGAATGAGCCGGCAGGCTTGAGTATGCCATTGTCATTTGATTATAATTTTAAGCGTGGCTGATTCCTTGATTCCCCACTTTTTGAAGGACTTTTTTACCCAAACTAAGGCTATTGATTCCCAGTTTACATTTTCAATTAATAATCTAGCTTAAATTATTTCGCTAAATCAAGTCAAGTTATTTATTAATTACTCAAATCCTTAAAGTTGTCTACCTTCTTACGGTTGGGGTTTTGGGGTTTTGGGGTTTTGGGG